CTCTCTCTCTCTCTCTCTCTCTCTCTCTCTCTCTCTCTCTCTCTCTCTCTCAATAATTTAAGGCTATAGTAAGTATTTGTCCAATTTCAAAATGAAGAGGTTCTGTCTGAAATTACCTGTTAACTTTCTAAATTGTGCTTTTGGCCGCCATTTTTAATAGCTCATTCCATTTTATAATTTAAGATTGGTCCAAAACTTGGGTCATGGTATTAAATTGCACGTACATGCGTTCTGTTTAACAATATTTATGCTTAATGAACGAATAGTCGTCGTGAGAACAGTGGTTTTTCGGCTTTTAGAATCGGTCCATATTAGAGTATAATATTGTTGATCTGTCCTGCATTTTATCAGTTTCTAATACAGTAAAAATAATGTTGATCTCACCTGTATTCAATTCGCTTGCAGTACTGTAATTGTATTGATCTAATTGGCTTTGTATCAGACTGCATAAGTGTACATTTTAATATTGATCACACAGGCATTGTTTCTGCAAGTTTACACTTATACAGTTATAATGTTGATCGCTTATTTAGGTTTTGATGGTGATCAAACCTGTTTTTTTTTTCAGCCTATTTATATTTATAGCAATATAATTACAATCTTGCTCCCACCAGTATTGTATCAGCCTGTATAAAAGTATAATAAATAATTACAATGTTGAACACACTGGTATTGTATCAGCCTGTATTACAGTATAATACAAAGTTGCTCCCACCTGTATCACGATCCAGCCATAGCTGTCTATCACGGAGTCGCACACGGCGAGTTGGCCGTTAGAGAGACCGATCAGTGGCTGTAGGCCCAGTATCTTGCCATCAGTGCAGGACTGGGGCTGGAGGGAAATCCAAAGAGGAAGGTTTATTTATTTATTTTCTTTTTTGTAAGTGTTTTACGGCTCTTGCAGCTGCATAAGGTCATACGAGCGCGCGGGACACACCAAATACTTTCAGTTGGTAGGAAATTTTGAATTTTGCCTAAGAGCCGGCCAAATCTTACTCCTCGATTTTGGTCCACAAAGGGATCTTAAACGTACGCAACTTCCTCACAGGACCTTCGATATTTTCGCCTTTGTCCGAGAAGGCTAGGTGTAGATCTTACCTACCATAGGATCAGGGGTGTGGCTGACAGACAACATTAAGAGGGAGCCAAAGAGAAGCAGTAAAAAGGCTGCAGAAAGCGTCAGGAGCCCAGTGGAGGTGAGGGGGAGGGGGCAGATAGTAGAGACGAATGCAGACGACAGAACATTGCTAGAGAGCAGGCAATGAGGTAAAAGGAGACAATTTTAGAGAAGCACAATGTCCGTAGATGCAAGCAAAGACTTCAGTATTAAAGAGCCTATCGGAGTCTGTTGGATTGATGATCCACCCCGGAAAGTCAAAGGTCCTAAGGACAGATGCACAACGAAAGGAGCAGGTCACAATAGAAGGAAAGGCACTAGAAAACGTTGAATCCTTCTGCTATCGTTTGAGTATAATTGACAGAGAGGGAGGAACAGGTGCTGGAATAAAGTCCCGCATTGGATAAGCACAGGCTGCTTTCATATCTTTAGATAGGATTTGGAAGACCAGAGATATCTCACTTCGAACAAATCTGAGGATTTTCAATTCAAACGTGAAGTCGGTCCTGTTGTATGGATGTGAGACATGGAACGCTTCACAGACTTGCATAAAGAGGATCCAGGTTTTCTTGAACAGGTGTCTAAGAAAGTTACTCAGATCAGATGGACAGACCGGGTCACCAATGTGGAAGTGCTAAGGAAAACAAGACAGATCCCAGTCAGAGATGAGGTGGGAAGTAGGCGGTGGCGATGGATTGGACATACTCTCAGGAAGTCAGGCAGCTGCATAACAAAGAAAGTTTTGGATTGGAACCCACAGGGCAAGAGATCAAGGGGAAGACCTCGTGGAACCTGGAGAAGAATCACAGAAATCGATGTACAGAAAAGTGGGAAGATATGGAATAACATCAAGAGGCTAGCCCAGGATAGAAAAAAGTGGAAGGTGTTTGTCCGTGGCCTATACCCTGATGCAGGGTGAGAAAGGCAATGATGAATGACAATGTCCGTCGCTACCGGGATTCGAACCCGGGACCTTTGAATGAGAGGCGAACACCTTAACCTCTTTGCCACAAGAGCCCCCAGAGTAGTGGTTAGAATAACAGTTCTTGGGATGGGCGGTACGGACTTGGTTCGGCTGATACATGACCTCGGCCGTAAAGAGAAAGTGTTCCTTCAATGAAGTAGGGTGGCATATTATTGTCTCTCAATTTCGCCAGGCAAAACTAAATCAGTTGGCTTGTTGGCTACTTGGTCAATTGATTAGGTTATTTTTACTCTCTCAATTTGAACGTTATGTCTTTCTTAAAGCTTATCAACCAGTTGATCTTTTACTTTGTCGACAAGTTTATCAGTCTACCATACACTTTAAACACAACTCCCCATGTTCCCAACTCTTACAAAAATACAGTGTGCAGGAAAAGTGGGTGGGAAATCTGGGACGAGGAAAAGAGCTTAAAACATCTTTCTCTCTTAGTCTTAGTGGTCAGGTCGAAAATCATGCAGCTCTAAGATGAGTTTATTCAATCCTAGGTCATAACATCTGAAAGTGTCTTTACAAGTCAGCATCCGTGGAATTATCTATTGCGCTGGGGGTTTTTTCTTAACCAGCGACAGATATGCTGATAGGGACGAATAGACAGACGAACAGACAGATAGACAAACAAACATACATACAAACTGTGTATAAATATGAGTTTTACGCCACTTGTAACACAATAAGGTCATTGCCGAAGATAGAGGTGTGACAACAAATATAACAAAGGAGCGATTTTTTAAAATTGTGTGTTTGGGGGGGGGGGGGGGGGTGTTTTACGGCGCTCGCAATTGCTGAAAGTCAAATGAACGCTTGGGACACACCAAATATTTTCAGTTTGTAGGACATTTAGAATTTTGCCCGGGTGGCGGCTGAAGCTACTCTTATCGATTTTAGACCACCAAGGCATCTTTGATGTGCGCAACTTGCATACGGGACCTCTGAGATTTTTTGCCCTGGTCCGAGAACGCTAAGGTGTAGATCTTTCCTACCAGAAGATCAGGGATGTGGCTGAAAAACAGCAGTAAGAAGGAGCCAACGAGTAGCAGTGGAAAAGCTGCAGAAAAAATCAAGAGCCCAGAGCAGGGGGGCAAAGGAGGTGAGGAGGGGAGGGGGGCAAAAATGGAGACGAAAGCAGGCGACATATCATTGCTAGAGAGCAGGAAAGGAGGTTAAAGGAGACAATTTTAGAGAAGACAATTTTTTTCGTTCACTGCCCAGATTCGAACCCAGGACCTTTGAATGGGAGGCCAACACCTTAACCTCTAGGCCAAGAGAGCCCCGAAATGAGTGATAAGGACGGTAGATGTTTGACTGGGGAAAAATGAGCAAATTTCACCAGAGAACACGCCAACTACCTACAGATATTATACAAACTGGGATGGATAGATAGATAGATAAATAGATAGATAGATAGATAGATAGATAGATAGATAGATAGATAGATAGATAGATAGATAGAAAGATAGATAGATAGATAGATAGATAGATAGATAGATAGATAGATAGATAGATAGATAGATAGATAGATAGATAGATAGATAGATTAAAGAGTAAAGAGGTAGAGAAAAAGGCGAAGAGAGAGAGAGAAAGAGAGAGAGAGAGAGAGAGAGAGAGAGAGAGAGAGAGAGAGAGAGAGAGAGAAGGAGAAAGAGAAAGAGAGAAATGAAAGAGAGACTTATTGAGGAATCATAGATCAATATCCTTCATTCAACATAATAAGATGTCCGTGAATCATCTGTACGGAATGTGTTTTCTTGCTATTTCCGGATAAGCGACTCCTGGGTCAAAAATATTTATTCGTCAATATCGAAGATCCAACACAACGAGATATTCTTACCTGGGGCTGTCTCTTCACAGTGCTCAATTTGTACTCATAGTCAGCCTTAAGAGCCTCCACAATTGCTGTCACATTGTCTAGGATGTCCTGCTTTTGTTGAAGACACTCTCTCTTGTTCTCCTCCAAGGCCTCTTTCATTTCTTCCAAAATCTGATTCTGTTGAAGATCCCCTTTCTTTTTCTCCTCAAAGGAGTGGTTCAAGACCTGTAATTAGACATTATTATTCATAAATTTTCAGATAATTGGTAGTGATTTATGTTTTTTCATTACGTTTCCTGTAAGCTTATGACGTCACAATAGTTTGACCTATTTGTATAGATAGTCACCACTGATAGATAGATCCTGTGTCAGAATGTCCGTAAGTTAAATAGGACACGAAAAGAATATTCGGGGTAAATGACCAGGGAGGAATGTTACATTTTTAAAGTTTATAATCTGTTTGTCAACTTGCCCCCTACAACCTGCTTACAAATACCCCAAAATACCTGCCACAATATTGTCTTCTCACTTGACTCCTCTCGACGCTTGTCTTGGCCCGATGGAATAGGCTAACACTAACAATGTCACCATAGCACAGATTGTGCCCACCGTTTCGGAACTTCACGGTGACCGTAAATATGGTTCGAGTAGGGGACGGGATAGAGGGTGCTCACGTACCTCGTGACTCATTGGAGCAGAGAAAGATAGGACTAACGCTAACATTGCTCTCAGATCAATGACTTACATCATTCTATAAGCCTGGAATACCTATATGTAACAGTTACTTGTCATACTAAGTATGCACGTACGACAGTATTGGGCACTATCATGCCACATCATTTCCTTCCTGCAAACAAAGCTATTAGTTTCACAACGGTACAGACATGTAAGTCGGAGAACGTTTGTTAGACTATTAGATTGCTTTGATCAATATACAGAAGGGAAACAATAAATCCTGGATTGTTGGTCCCTATATTAACATGTTGGATTTTGTCCCTGTAATTGTACTTTTCTTTATCTACCCTCACAACAAAGATTGTCTGATCTTAGTGATCTTTACTCACTCCTCCTTCCTGTTTTAATCACATGTACTCATGCTCATTATGATTTATTTAGTCTTGTCAGTGAAGCCAGAGAGGGCAGACCTCATATCTTTTTCATCAATAAATTACCCTTCTTCATTTAGAAACGGAGTTTTTACTTTTGCTTTATTAAATACAATAATGGCAAACAACCCCAGTGCAACAACGTTTTTTTCAAATAACGGAGACGATGCTGATTTCAGTAAATGAATTGTCGATTATGCCATTGCGAAGGTAGGCAACATTTTTCCCTTTAGATTCTATTTCCCATCATGTCCCTGTTTAGAAAATGTCCTGTCTTGGTACGGTAAGCTTAGGTAGTAACTGAGCCTAGTGTATCTCAACACTGTGACGATTCTTTAGAGATGGGACCTCCAAATTTATAACCCATCTTAAGACCAGTCTAAGGAAAAAGAAAATATAAACACAAATTTTAACCACCCAAGTTGAAAAATATTCAGCTAGGATCCAAACTTGGACAATACATTTTTCTTCATCTTCTTCTCCTCTTCCTTCTTCTATAAACCAACCAGTCATATCGCTGCGTTAGTTAAGCGGGCGACTGGCAAATGATGGGGACAGATTTGTAAGATCTAGATCTAGACCCTCACTTCAATTTCCCTTATCATTTCTTTTTTTTGTTTGTCATTTGTTGAAAATGATCTCACATTACCAGCTACGGCAAAAAAGTGTAGACCAAGACGCTTGCAAAAGTGTATTACCATAGTTTAGATCGTATTCTTGGGGCGATTTTTATTTCAAGAACAGGTTCTGAGCTATGTAACTTTTGAAGAAATTTTCGTTACACTGTAAAAGTGAGTACTTTAGTGGACTGACTGGCTCCTCACACAGAGGGTTCTTAGGTGGAGTCCGTTGTACTTTATGAGATATCCTCACCTGTATCTGATTCCCAAATCCCTCTTCAAGATCCTCTATGGTCGCTGTTAAATTCTCCTGGATCTCTTGGTTTTGTGAGCTCAGTAGTTGAAGAAGCTCCCTCGTGCTGTTCTCCACACTAGCTTTCACGTTTTCAATGTCTTGGTTCTGGAGGTCAAGGTCATTCTTGTTCTCCTCCACCGTCTTGTTCAGGACCTGTAGAGTGACCACGCTCGTTATTGTCAAGAACACGGGTGGTCTTTTCTACCACTCGACATTCTACCTGCAAACAAAGCTAATTACACCACAGTGTTACAATAATATTGTCATATTATGACATTGCTACTAACCACAGGCAAAGTAAGAAATAGAATGATATTTGGAATAAAGGATATGATATTGGCCAGAGTAAAAACGTATTAAAAAATTTAAAACAAAGAATGTCGTTTGTGCTGATGTCGGGTCACAAGGATCACTTCTTTCTTTCTTTCTTGCCCACGCCAGGTATTTTATCATAGATCCACAAACTTCATCAAAACTACTTAAACCTTTAAGGCCATTTTTTTTAAAACAGTGGTGAGATATTAATTTTTGTTCCTATTTCTGGGTGGGTAAGCTATGCCTATGTAAATAATAGTTGTTAAAGTCAAAGAGCATGCTGTACAAATTGGAAATGCACAAATACAAATGCAATTATTATTATTATTATTATCATTATTATTATTAATACTATTTTTATTATTGTCATTGTTATTATTATTATTATTTCCTTTGAATGAATGTGACTTTAGCATCATCTGTGTGCTTTCAGAAGGAGCATGTTTTTAAAGGAATAGTTTAAATTGTCTTGCCTTTCCACCTGGACTTTTTCACACGTGCAGCTTGTATGTAGCTGTGTGTGTAGTAAACGCCAGGGACAGAGAACTCTGGCTAAAGTATTCGTCTCTCTTGTCTTCATGGGAGGGGAGCTCCAGAGGCCAGGGACACTTGTCTCCTCACTACAGTGTTTGTTTGTTCATCTCCCATTTTGTGATGACGTTTGGT